TTTCTAACTATTGTTATTATATGAGTTCTGATTGTATATTTATCTTATTATTTTATTTTTGAATTGTTTTCCTGAATTCTTCCAAGGCATTGTCTGGTTTTCTCCTTGGTTCTTTTTGTGGTTTCCTTGAGCTCTTGTAGAGTTTTTTGAATGTATCTTCTAAATTCCTTCTTGGATAATTCTATTGCCTGTTCTTCTTCCATGCTAGATAAGTCTTTAGCCTGGGGTTTTATTTCAATTGTCTTGTCCTTTTTTTTTTTTTTTTTGATTTGAGGTTGTCTGTTATTTCCTAAGCATTTTGAAGTTGTTATCTCTAACTGTGAGTTATGTATTGATTTGTTTCACCCTGATTTTATGTTTAAATATACTTGCAAGTGTGAAGCTGGTGCATTTTTTTTTTTTTCTTTTTGGTTATTAATTCAGATGTGCTAGGTTGCTTTCCAGTTTTCTTTGTGTTAATGAAATCACTGTGGGGAATGTGGATGTAGGTCTCTGTTCATTGTGAAGGGGATTTGGATATGGGATGAGCAGGTGTTGTGGTGGCTTAATGTGGTTCTTCTATTGGATGAGGCAGGGGAGAAAGGGAAAAGAGATACAGAAAAGGAAAAGACAGAAAAAAGGCAACACGCCAGTAGCAAGTCCCCATTTTCTGCATTTCTGCAATTGCTGTTGGCTCTGAGGTTTGTTTTGAGTCTGCTTGGGATGGCCAGCAATGATGACATTTTGCTGTCAATCACAAACCCGTGGTTCAAAATCATCAGAGACCCGAGTGGTTAGGGCCACTACTTTCCACATGGGTTGGAAAGCTGCAAAAACCCCACACCCCAGTACACTCTGTGCTAAGAAGCAGTCATGGAAGAGTTGAATCCCAGCCTTCTGCTGTGTGCTTATTGCAGGCCCTTCCTACTTTTCTCCCTTTTCCCCTCCGCTCTGAACTCAATGGCTGTCTGAGCCAAAGGGGTTTCTGCTGTTTCTCAGCAAGGTTATCCACCTACTCAGCTCAGCTCCAAGGTTACCATCCGAAGCTCCCAGTGGGATTATTCCATGTCCCTGAAGCTTCCATGGTGCCACCACTTTCTTCTTCTCTGTGGCTCTCCCCTGTATTGCTAATGAGTTTTCTGCTTCTCCACCTCTCCATCTCCCCGGCAGCCTGGCAGGTTCATTTATTTTTCCTGGCTGTTTAATCTGCTCTTTTTCTCTGCCTCCACTAAATCTGGCTTCCTCTTACTTACTCAGCTGTTCAGCTCCAGAATTCTTGCAAACTGCTCCACCTAGTTTTTCAGGAATTAAGATGCTAGAGGGAACAAATGTGTGGGCTACAGGTATAACACCATCTTCCTTCAAAATGAGAAACAATAAATCTTTATGGAAGTAGATTTTTCTGGTAAATGTTGTTGCTATGTGCTGTTGAGTCAGACCCGACTCACAGTGACCCCTCCTTGGGTTTCTGAGGCAGTATCACTATGGAAGTAGATTGCCCAACCTTCCTTCCGAG